CGTACGATCTGGTTTCGTACGAGAAACATTTTCATGCTTGTCTCTTCAAATAATTTTGGACAAAAGCTGTGTACTAATGATCAGATTATCATATGATCCCTTCAAAAGCAGTATTTTTTGTACGATTTTCTGATTATGTATACTAGGTTTACCACTATGAGGAAAAGTGATGAGGTTTTACAATGTGAGTGAAATGTCAACAGTTTGAGGGCGTTTAGAGCTTCTTTTCAGAATATGATTTAATTGTGCCACTGTGCAGGCAATAAACGATTGTTTTTTCGTGTTGTATCATCCTGGACATGGCATGCATTAACCTAATGAGAAATTGTAAGTGTTAAAAACTATTTTTAATGTGTACAGGTTTATTAAAACCTATGAAATTTGTGTCTTTTTTTTTCCCAAGAATTGTGCTTTCTTTTGGTGGTATTTAATCGCCTGTGCGTTTTTTATTTGTTGCGCTATGAAAAAAAAAAAAAGACCGACAATTTTGCGAAAAAAAACATTTTTTTTTTACTTTTTGCTAATAAACATGTCCAGTAAAAAAAATTTAAAAATCTAATTTTATCATAAATTTACACCAAAATGTATTCTGCTACATGTCTTTGCTATAAAACATAAATCCCAATACGGGTAAATTAATTGTTTTATGTGAAAGTTATAGCGTTTACAAATGGCGGTATAGATACTGAAATTTTATGTTTTATTTTTACTACTAATGGCGGCGATTAGCGACTTATAGCGGGACTGTGGGACTGTAGCGGGCATTCTGACAGTGGGCGAAACTGTCACCAATACAGTGATCAGTGCTAAAGAAAAAGGCACTGACACTGTACTAAGGGCATTGGGCAGGAAGGGGTTAACATGAGGAGCAATCAAAGGGTTAACTGTGTGCTGTTTCACTGTAAGCTCTGTGTGTGTCCATATGGAAGACAAAATGTATTTGAAATATATTTTAAAAATATTCTTCCCAAATATATTGACATATATTTGAAATGCTACAATTTTGGCTATATTAAATATATTAAAAATATATTTATATATTTTTTTTTATATATATATATTCTTCAGATTTTTTCAAACATATAAAAAAGTCATTTTAACATATATTTTTGCATATATTTGTAAATGCATTCCAAAAAATTAGATTTGTATTTTTATATTATATTTAATATGGCCAAAATGTAAGCATTTCAAATATATGTAAATATATTTGGGAAGAATATTTTTAAAATATATTTAAAATATATTTTTCTTCCATGTGCTTCACTGTAATCACACTTCTTTGGATGGCTGTGCTGTGTGCAGCCATCCAAAGCAGTGTGCACGAGCTGAAAGGGAAGAGAACTGTATTGTTTACATACTGTTCTCCTCCCCGTCGGAGATGCTCAGCAATCACCGGGTGCGGGCGAGTAATCACTGGCTGAGACCATTTTGAATGACAGCCGCCACCGCGAATGGTGCGCGTGCCCCCTACCCAGAAATGCACAATTATGTATATATATATATATATATATATATATATTATGTGATTGTGCGCACACGTGCTGCCCTGTAGCAATATATCTGCTACAGGGCGGTTGGGAAGTGGTTAATATACGTTTCTATTGTTCGCATAAATATTTAACAAAAACATTCGATATAGGGTTCTTCTATGACATTGAGTTTGAAGATCATGTTGGTTTTCTTATAATAAAGGCCAGTACTGCATTTTCTTGTTGACTACCTGCAAATGAAAATCCATAGGGGTTCTTATACATTTTAATTTGCAAAAGGTTGAGCAGTGTGGAAAAAGCAGTGGCACATTAAGGTCCTGGAGTGGCCTAGCCAGTCTCCAGACCCTTAATCCGATTGAAAATCTGTGGAGGGAGCTGAAAGTTTGAGTTGCCAAAAGTCAGCCACCAAACCTTAATGACTGGGATCTGCCAAGAGGAGTGGGCCAAAATCCCTCCTGAGATGTGTGCAAACCTGGTGGCCAACTACAGGAAACGTCTGACCTCTGTGATTTCCAACAAGAGATTTGCCACCAAGTACTAAGTCATGTTTTGTAAAGGGGATCAAATAGTTATTTCCCTCATGAACATGCAAATCAGTGCATAATTTGTTAGACATGCATTTATTTTGAATTTTTTGTTGCTATTCTGTCTCTCGGTGTTACAATACACCTACCATTCGATTTTTAGACTGATCATTTCTTTCCTTTACTGTATATACATTAAACCTGCGGTTAAGCACAGAATTAGGCAGATTTATTGTTTTAGATTTTATTTGTGCATATCAGGTTCAGGCAAGGTCTCAGATGTATAGTTTCTTGTGTTTTTGCAGCAGCAAGAACATTTGTTAATGTTTATTGGTTGACCCTAGGGGCGGACTGACAACTCATGGGGCCCCCGGGCAATAGGGGATCATGGGGCCCCTGTGTCCTTGCCCAAACTCAAAAAAACCTATGAAAAAGGTACCAGGGGCATCTCGTGGGGCCCCCTACTGACCCGGGCCGTCGGGCAGTGCCCGAGTTTCCAAAATGGTCAGTCCACCCCTGGTTGACCCACAGACACAAGTATAGCATTGTGGAGAACTCTAGAAACATATGTGACAATCTTGCATGCACCTAAGAAAGATTCTACATCACTTTGATCATCCATCAGTATTCAATGGGGTTGATGTACTAAAGATAAATAAACTGTTTACTTTGCAAGGGATGTTGCACTTTCCAAGGAAAGTTTCCACAATCCTTAATGAATGAGGTGAAGCTCTGCTGACTTCCATCAGGCACTCATGTCCAAGCAAAATCATGTTTTTTTAAATTTTCCATTCACGTGATTGGGTATTCTTTGCAAAGTAAAATTTCACCACATTCACTAAGCTCTGGCGACAATTCTCTTGCAATGCGCAATTTTGCTTGCACAATTAACAGCCTACTTGTTCTTGGTAAATCAACCCCGATGAGTGTACTACTGACTGCCAGTAAATTCAGCACATAAAGAGACTTTTTCATACATTTGCTCCTTTGACATTTCTGAGCAGGGAAATAAAAAGAGCATAATTAGGGAAATTCATAAACAGTAAACAGTAAACACTTTCCATAATAATAAATGGTACAGCCATGAGAACACTTGAAAATAAATACAGAATAATGAGGTATTTTTTTATTGATTTTAATATTAGTAAACATCATACAAAATGTAATAAAATAAATATATTTCTCTTTGTAGCCTATTATACAATTTTATATTAAAAAATGTCATTAGTTCATTTATACTATACTAAACTGATCACCACTGATGAAACTGAAAGATTTTCTGAATGACATAAAAACTGTTATGTGTGCTATTATGTTTTAAGACCTATTCTTTGAAGCAGTGTCAAGAGCAATGATAATGTACAAAGTGCAGTACTCCATTGCAGACAATCAGATTTTTTATAACAAAAGCCCGAACAGAGCAGTATGATTTCCGATTACTTATATGCGATGCTGCACATTGTTCTTAGCCTTATTGAAAAAGGTTACATCTTTATACTGAACATTTATATTATAGAACATTTTATATTGAACTGTTACAAAAAGGAGCATGCCATTTACTTACAGATGCAGATGTACTAGCTATAAAACAGATACTGAATGCAATAGACTGCTAAGAATTTTGTATGTCTTGGATAAATAACACGGGCTGAGCCCATGCAATGTTAGTGCCCATGTGCAAGAGCCCTGTGGGTCATACAGGACTTCTATAAACATAAAAAGAACATAATACATGACATTATATTTTTAACTATGCAGCATGAACTGTACATTTTTGGACTATTTAACAAAGTCAATGTGCTAAGTGTTGTAGCCCACAGCAACCAATCCCATTTTTGCTTATTGTAGTCAAATCTATAAAAATATTTCATAATTGGTTATTATGGGCGACTGCAACTTGAACATCTAGAAAGAAAAAAAGGAATGTTTTTGCTTGGACTATGCTTTTCTAGGCCATTCCTTAAAGTGCTACTAAACCCACAACAGTAAATCAGTCTGTATATGCAGTAAAGCATGCTTGTTATACTCACTGTGGAACCTAAGGGGTTAATCGTCTGCATTGTGCAAAAAGGATGTTTGATCCTTTCTTCTCTGCCCCTCCTCTTGTTGAAATGACCACCTGATACAGACTTAATCTGTGGTCACATGCACATGCTCAGTTTGGTGTGTGTTGCTAGAGAGTTTTTTTTTTTTTTTTTTCTTGGGAGGGTGCATGTGATCAGTACAGGTCCAATCAGCACTGGGCAGTAAGAAAACTCCTCCTACAAGCTTTAACCAGTGCTCTGCTGAAGTCACAAGACTGCTCTAACTGCTGATGAGAAAATGTATTTAGCAGTTTATATTTACTAAAATAATTGCATTTTCATGTTGTGTGTACTGTGGGAGACCAGATATAGTGAATGCAGGGTCCTGGGTTTAGTAAGACTTTAAGCAGCATCTAGCGTTGTTTGACTTCAGGTTTGTGTATTATAGTGTTGTACACTGTACAAATCAGTTCATTATAACATCTACTATTTGCAGATATAAAATAATTTTCTTAGATTGTAAGCTCCAAGGGGCAGGGCCCTCCTATCCCTCTTGTATTGAACTGTATTGTTGCTGTATTGTCTCCCGTTATATTGCAAAGCGCTGAGCAAACTGTTGGCGCTATATAAATCCTGTGTAATAATAATAAATAATAATAATAATTTCTTCTTAGCTTCCTTGCTACATTTTCCATCTAATATGCACTAAGTACACCCAAACTATGTTTCCAGTGTAAAATGTTTTTCTGTGGATATCTGACTGCAAATTAAGTATCACCTGTAAGTAAAGTAGTTCACGCTGTTTTATGTCTGTATTCCATTAATTCGTGCTACAATCTTGTAAATATGGACTATGCTTTTTGTGTGACTATAAATATAAAATATGTACAAGTTGGAAAAAAATGCACATTGTAAGTGTCACAGCCATTTATATAGTCAAATCTTTTTGGCATATCATATTATTCAGATTCAAATCCAGAGTCATGTTCTTCCTCACTGTTGTTCTCCTCATTGTCTGTGTCTGATTCAGAGTCATTGTAAAATGATAAGGTAGCTTGGACTGGAAAGCTCCGTAATAAATCTGCTGCTTCCAGATACATATTATCAAGTGGTTTGGACTTGGGCCAAAATAGCCTGCAAAACAGAATAAGAATGATAATGATAATAGAATAATATGTAAACATACCTTTCCTGCTGCCATGCTACCCAGTCTTTATGTGAATACTGCAGAAAAACTGACACTTTCCAGGAGTAACAATCCCTTGGGTCCAGTACAGAGCTCAATGGTTCCTCCTGCTGACCTCCACATCACCACTGTATCCTGCAAAAAATGGAGGTCAGCAGGAGGAACCTGGGGGGACCCAAGAGGACTCCTGGCAGTGTTGGTTCTTTTGTCAATATGAGGAGCATTTGGTCGTGGGAAATGAAAGAATTAATAATTTCATCAAATTTTATATAGTGACAAGGCCATTTTAAGGCCCAGCTGAATTTTTATTTTAAATCACCTAATACATTCCAAGTTAAAAAAAAGGTGCTCAAAGTCCTACCATTTGTTTTCTTTGTACAGCAGCCATAGCCATGTCTCCTGCCAGCATGCTTCAGAGAAGAACCTTTTCTCCCTGTGTGGAAGCAGCGGTCTCTCTGTTTGACATTCCCCCTACTGAATCATCCCTAGAACCCTTCAGTAAATAGGAAGCATTGTACTATAAATACTGCTGCCCTTCTGTTTGTGAGAAGGTGAGCAGCATTGCCACCCTCAATTGCCACAAAGACAAAGAGGGCTATGTGGAGCCCTTGCCTGATTTGTCTCCTCCCTAGCACTGACACTTTCAGTAATATTTTACTGTCTAGGAGGGCATTAAAGGGGAAATACCATACATCATATCTAGTTCATTTATGTGGATAAGAACATAAAATATAGTGTGTCTTTATTTGAGATAGAAACGTTTACAGAGTATCCTTATTATAGGTAACTGATTTTTTTTGTGGTTTTGTTTGTGAGCGGTCTGGGAAACTGTGTTTGCCATAATTAACCATGTCTGTACTGTGCAGGCAGATCTTCATAGGTTAGTTAGCTCCTGTGTAAATGGAGCCTAGTATGTGTATGTACAGTATGAGTGTGAGTTAGGGACCTTGGATTGTACTCTCCTTGAGGACAGGGACTGATGTGAATGTGCAATATGTGTGTATATATATATATATATATATATATATATATATATACACATTGTCACCGCTATGTAAGAACCTGTAATAAATAAATAAATTAAACGAGTAAATGAGATTATGACACTGTCAGGGGAATTCATAAAGAATGTCTAAGACACTTTTGACATGCCTCTATATGACAAATGCCAGCGAGGGCACCAGATTCATGTACCAGTAGACATGAATCTGGGGCACACACTGCATGTGGAGATACAATGAGGCTGAAGTATACACAACTGCTATGGAAGGGAGGGGGGGCAAGCCTGGTAGGGATTGGCAGACACTAGTTCCCATCAGTTCCATTCCCCTTGTGTTTGATGGCAGGCAGTGGGCAGATCCTTAGGTAATAGACAGCCTGCTATTGGCTATAGAATGCCCCTACTGCCCGCTGTCAGTTACAAGAAGACTGAGGATCTGATGGGAAACTAGCTTCTCAACTTCTCCATAATGTTGCACCCACTGTAGCATCACTGGTTGCTAAAGCCAGTGACAGGGAGTGGGTAGCGGTGGGAAATATTCCGCTCTGTTACACTGCATACAGGGACAGGAACTCTACCTATTTCTGTATGCCAACTTAGAGTGGGTTTTAATTACCTAGTTTTATTATCTATGAACTGGAGGTAAATATATTTGATTTTGGTGCATTAATAGCAGAATTTTTTCTAAGTAGTACTTTTAAGAATGATCTAAATCTAGTGTTGGTAAAGTTAATGAAGCGGGCAGCATTGAATCTGGCACAGTCCATTTTAAAGCATTGTTAGGGATTTATTAAATTCCCCCCCGTCTCTGTCCTAACAAAGGGTAAAAGGCTTAAGCTGCCCATAGATGGTTCAAAATTTGGCCAGTTCAGCAGGAACCGGACAAATTTCAGTCCAAGTCTGGTCATCCCCACTCAATGGAAGTCGATCTAATGATCAACGTCTGTAGAATTGGAATGTTGGAAAATTTTTTCTCCATCAGTAGGCTGTAGCCAAATTGGATGTAACACTGATTAGTGTTTTTCCTATAATGGTGAATACAATAGCATAGCAGGGGGATTCCACTAAACAACTCGCATGTGTGGATGGGGGAACCACTCATTTTTTAAATTTTTACCACTGTCTAATACAAAAAAAAATAATAACCTATGGCTGGTCTTAGAAGCTGGGCTTTTTACAATGTGTGTTAATGAGAGGAGACTCAGCCAGTCTTTAGGACAGACTCACTCTGACATTGATCCATGTCTGTCATGAGGCCCTCTCCTGAAAAACATCTAAAAGTAAAATTTTGTTTTTATTTTAATTGTATGCTGTGTGAAGGAGAACACCTAACTAACATCTAGGGTTTTTTTTTTTACTAAAACCAGAGAATGCAAAATCTGATGCAACTCTGCATAGAAACCAATCAGCTTCCAGATTTTTTTTGTCAAAGCTTAATTGAACAAACTGAAGTTAGATACTGATTGGTTATCATGCACAATTTGCACCAGATTCTGAGGGCACCAATTTTAGTAATTCTACCCATAGTGGGGTTTCCTCAATATTGGCTGGAAAAAATGGAAATGCACTTTAAAACTGTTGAAACTGTTTCTGTATGCAATATGCATGGACATGGCATGTTTACCTATAAACAATATCCACAAAAGAAAACAATTGCGCCTTTTGAAACTACTCTCCAAACACCAAGTTCAACATCTGTCCCATGGCATATAAGTACGTAAACTCTACATAAGCTGGGAACAAGGCTTACCTCACAGGGTGGTTGTACTCTGCAGCTTTCTGTCCAGATTGTGGATTTTCACACAGGCCGGGGACATATGGCTAGAATTCAGAGGAGAAAATGTTATCTCTACAAGCTGTTTTGTGCATTAGAGCAGTGACCTGAGAGCTGTTTATACCATTGACACCTCAGCTTTGTGTGAAAAAGGTTAAACTATGTATGGTATCTAATGGAAGGACATGTGTGCACAAGACTGCTAAAAATGAAATGGTTTTTGATCTCTTCTAATATGCATGTCATATGTAATATATACTTTATCTGCACAGGTTTAACATTTTCATTGGCTGATGTTTAAAAAGGAATAGCCAAAAGGGTATAATTATTTTTAGCATAAAAGGTTAGGCCAACATGTAAAAATATTAAACCTGTCGTACTATCTCCATGTTAAAAAGTCGCAAGCAATGCAGTGTTGTGTTTTTCTATCTGCCTACGCAGATTGGCTATTCAAAGATTTCTTCATGCAATGCAAGTTATCAATCTACAAACATGCATTTGCACTACATGAGTGGTTTCAAAAGTCATTTAAATATGTCCTAACCGGGAATAAAGAAGCAAAAAAAGAAAATTCAAGGCAGTGAGTTAAACCCCGTACACAAAACGAGAATATCGGACAAACGAACGCCCGTTTTTTTTTCGCCTGCTAGTCTCACATCGAAAGTGAAAAAGTTAAAGATACAAAAATTCTCCTATGAAAGAAAAGAATTTCGAAAGTAATTCTCCTATGAAAGAAAAGAATTTCGAAAGTGATGTCATGTATTGTATTGTATTTTTATTGTATCTTCGGATAACTACTGTACTGATTAAATGAAAATCGTACGATCTGGTATCATACGAGAAAGTTTTTTGCATTTGTCCCTTCGGATATTGTCACACGAATTGTCATGATCGGCTCTCGAAAGCTGTGTACTAAAGATCCGATTATTGAATGATCGGTCCTCGTTCAAAAATTTTTGTATGATTTTCTTATAGTGTTTACAGGGCATTAAGAGGTGCTTGATGACAACATCCTTGTAAATGGCACTGGAGTATGACATTTATTAAGAAATGATGTTGAAGATTTCTAAAAGTGAAAGCCCCTGAATTCTACAAAAGAAGAGTCTTATTCAAAGTATGTGAAAGAAGGACCTTGAGTATTGTTCACTGCATATATTCGCAGTTTAAATTAAATTGTCCATGCAGAATACATTTAATAGGCTGATTTCATAACTGAAGACCAAAATAGGAAAAGAAAAAAGAATAGACTGTATGATATGATACAGTATCTGAATGACCATAGGAGATACAACATACCAAGGTTTTATTGGAGCTATTGCGAATCCAAGGTCTCCAGAATGTCACATGTGGTCTGAAAAATAAAAGGGATGCATTTAAAGTTAACCTTTGTTCAATGATATATATAACATTTTTTTTATTTTGAAAAGTGTTGTGTATGAGGCAGGCCATAGATAATGTGATTTTCTTGGAGCTGTTGTGTTCTCCTGGTGGGGGTTTGATTGGGGAGCCATCCCTGCTGGGAGAACACAGTGATTGTCTCTAGTGCCTATAGCCACTTGCAATAATTGCATGCTAGGAATCTGACATGCTTGTTGTACCCAAGTTGATCCATCGTTCAACTTGGGTACAACCAGGCTGTCCATAGATGGATCAAAGCTTGGCCAGTCCCTACTGAAACGTCCAAGATTCTAAACATTTATGGCCATCTTAATTTTTGAGGAAAGTTACAAGGTTAACCATGTGTTGAGTTAAATGGGAGGTTAAGAATTAAAGGTTAGGGAGGTTAATAAAGGTTGGGTGGAGGAAACTAATTGATAATGCAAAAGGTTCAAACGATATATCATTCATATACAATGAATGTCAGAAAAGCACGTTTGTATAACAAATGCCAACTAATTGTATATTATATTATATTTAGATTATAATTGTCAAGAAAACGATGCAAAAAAATCACATTCCTGAACAGTTCAATTAGTTTCCTCCACCCAACCTTTAATAGCTCAATACCAGTATACTAGTTTTTGGCACATGGCATTCAGTGACAAAAACAAGTTTTAAAAAGTGTCTCCCCAAATCCCCTAAAAAATCACATTCCTGAAAAGCAAAAATGCTTATGTGGACAAATTATACAGGAGTTCCAACTGATATACCCTTATATTTCAAGTTGTACAACTAGTGAGCTTAAGTGAAATGTGCAATGTTAATTAACCAGTTCCACACCGCCCTATAGCAGAAATACTGCTACAGGGCGGAACAGGTGCGCAAAATCACGTATATATATACACGTGATTTCTGCAGTTCCGTGTAGGGGACGCACGTGTTCTACCAGCACCACCATTCGCGGCCTTGGCTGTCAATCACCAGGTCCCAGCCGGTGATTACTCGGCTGCACCCAGTGATCACTGAGTATGTCCGACAGGGGAGAGACCGGTGTATAAACAACACAGATCTCTCCCCTGTCAGCTCCTGCACACTGCTTTGTATGGCTCTGCTTAACACAGGCATACAAAGCAGTGTGCTTACAGTGAAACAGCACACAATGTAAAACACATGCAGCACACAGTTAACCCTTTGATCGCCCCTCATGTTAACCCCTTCCTGCCCAGTGCCCTTAGTACAATGTCAGTGCTTCTTATTAGAACTGATCACTGTATTGGTGTCACTGGGGATGTCAGTGACACCAAGTCAATTACCCCCAGTGTCAGAATGCCTGCCGCAGTCCCGCTATATGTCACTGATCGCTATCATTGCTAGTAAAAAAGAACATTCCAGTATCTATACTGCCATTTGTAAATGCTATAACGTTCATGTAAAACAATTAGTTTACACGTATTGGGATTTTTTTTTAGCAAAGACATGTAGCAGAATACATTTTTGTGTAAATGTATGATGAAATTAGATTTTTTTAAATTTTTTTACTGGACACGTTTAATTGCAAAAAGTCAAAAATATAGTTTTTTCTCAAAATTGTCAGTCTTTATTTGTTTATAGAGCAAAAAATTGCACAGGCGATCAAATACCACCAAGAGAAAGCTCTATTTGTGGGGAAAAAAGGATGTAAATTTCATTTGGGTGTAACGTTGCATGACCTTGCAATTGTCAGTTACAGTAATGCAGCGCCGTAATGCAAAAAATGGCCTGGTCAGGAAGGGGGGGGGGGGGGGGGGGGGTAAATCCTCATGACAGCAAGTGGTTAAAGGAATAGATGTAAAATGTTAACTTATAGCAACTATATCATAAGATTCTGAAATAAGAAAAAATATAATATCGTATGTAATGATTGTGAAAATATAAAGTAAAGATTTGCATATTTACTGTGGTTATAAGTAAAGCAACATCTTACATGAGTGTACTGTACATGTATGTGTGACAAGATGGAATTAATTCATTGCCTGGTCTAACCTCTGTACATGACTTTGTGCAATTCAGTAGACACAGGATTAAAGAAACCATGGTGGTGCAAAAAACATGCAGACTGCCATTGCTGACCATCTTTGGAACCTACTACATTTCTAGCTGTCCCTAGTTTCAGTCACTGACATAGAACTGACATGCATATTAGAAAGTCAGAGTAAAATCAGCATTCCTAATCTGTCTGCCTAAGAGCCCATTCACACTTGTGCGACTTGTCATGCGACTTTGGGATCTAAAGTCGCAGTTCATGTTACCAAATGAGTACTATTCATATATGTTCGACTTCAAGTCGCAGCAACTTGAAAGTAGTTCCTGCACTACTTTGGTATGACTTTCATGTGCCCTGAGGGTCATACACTTCAATGCAAAAGTCGCATGAAAGTCGCACCTGAATGATATACATGCAACTTGTGTGTGACTTTGTACAGAACAAACAATCATCCTTGGTCAAAACCAAAGTCGCACTCATCCAAAGTCGCATCAACGTCACATTGTAAAGTTGTAATGAAATTGCATGATTTTGAAGTTGCACAAGTGTGAATGGAGCCTTAATGTCAGGTCAGCAAGTACTGAAGCTAATGGATGAGCAGGAAAGCCAGGCATCTAATCTTCTCAGAAGGAAGTCTGCAACGGCAGTGTACCTGTTTCTATCCATACAGGCAGGGGCGAACTTACAACTCATGGGGCCCCCAGGCAATAGGGGATCATGGGGCCCCTGTGTCCTAGCCCAAACTCAAAAAAGCCTATGAAAAAGGTACCAGGGGCATCTCATGGGGCCCCCTACTGACCCTGGGCCCTCAGGCAATGCCCGAGTTTCCAAATGGTCAGTCCACCCCTTCATACGGGTTTCTTTTAATTTAGTACTCATTAAATACATAGGCATGTACTTTAAATACAGAATAAAAGTCAGCTAAATGCCATCTTAGTAAATCATATAGCATCAGAGACTGATGAAAGGGTATATAGTACCTGTAGGAAATCTCTAGCTGTTTGGGCACTGGTGAGCATACTGACACTTGTGGTTCCCTGGGACATGTGTATTCCTCACATACTATATATTAATCCAACCATTTCTTAGAGATCAGCCACTCCCTTGTTAATATGCCTAAATTATGTTAACAGCCCGGGGGGGAGGGATTTACTAAAATCTGGTGCATAGAAACCAATCAGCTTCCAGGTTTTAGGCTGGCCTACATTATACAATTTACTTTAGAAAATTGCTTTAGATTTACCAAAAACCATATAATATGAGGTCAAACCTAAACAACACTTTCAGTTGTATCCAATTAAGCAAGGCCTTCCACTAAATAGTTGAAGGTAAATTTAAAGGCAATTGGGTAGAAATTGAACAGAATATTGTATAGTGTATGGCCAGCCTTAGGCTAGGTTCACACTAATGCGGTGCGATACATCGCATGTGATTCACACAGGAACCGCACTGCATTCCTGTGCGTTTTGTGTGCGGTGTGATCGGAGCCATACATTTTGTATGGCTCAAATCGCACCGCATCTGCACCAAAAAGGTGCATGACCCTTTTTTGGGTCTGCACTATAATCGGATCGCATGGGTATTCACACCTATGCGATCCGATTCTGCATATCGCACCGCATTTTGTGTAGCGATTTCAGGGTA